TGCTCATCACTGCTCTCCTTCAATTCTGAAATGAAACAAGTCACTCAGGCACATGAGACCAAGATGCCTAATTCTGCACCAGGAGTGTCATTCCTGGAGCTGAGTGCCAGACTGCAAAATGCTGCAGTGTTCTGCATGGCAATAGCCAGGTTTTCCTTTGAGTTAATTCCCAATTTTTCATTCTAAAACCAAAATAACTGAATTCTTATGTATTTCCTAAGATTTTTTTGCACAGGTTTTATATGTTTCTGTGTACACTAATCTTTGAGGAATACCATTTGCCAATTTTTTTTTTTAATAAAGATTTTCCACATACACATTTTCCACATATTGTATAATTTGTCTCAGCTTTGCTCTCTCTGTCTCATAGATTGTTCAGATCTTATGAACGACTTTCTCTGGAAATAGGAAAATAGCAAAATGAGAATACATAGAAAAACTATAATAAATACAGTTGGGAAATGCTCCCTTTAAACTGACCTAATCTTTCTGGTATCTCTCTTTTGACTTGGAAAGTTGGAAATAGACAAAGCAGGAAAAACCCTGAAAAAAACCCAACTCCCTCATCTGCTTTATCTATTTGTTTTCTGTTTACTATTGTTCCTGTTCTTGTGTAGAACTTTATTGGATTTGTGTTATTTATTTTCTATGTTAATCTTAATGAGGATAGCATCTGTTTCATCTTCTTTGCTTGCAAAATTTGAGGCAATCCATTCTGCTATAGCATTTCCCTAATCAATTTGATGAGACTAAGATTCCTCATCTCAGGTTTAATAGATAATTAATCTTACTCTTCTTACTGTCCATCCCTCCCACGTTTTGAGCAAGTTTAGGGTGTTACTCTCACTGCATTCATATTCTCTGATCTCTCTGCCCTGTCTCATCTGTGTTCACCAGGGAGGAAACTGGCCTGGATATTATGGAGGATGTCAAGTTTTTTTCTAGTTTTATTTCTAAATATAAAACTAAAATATTCGGGTAGTCAGGTTCACAGGGTCTTGCAGACTGTAAGGGGGATTGTGTGAGGATAAGCTCCACATCAGTGTAACAAACAGAGCTGCTTGTGGGGGTCCTGCAGTTTGGCAAGGCTCTTCTTATTTAAATGAAGACATTCTTGGCAATATTGCATTACTGGGCAGAAGTAGCCTCAAAGCCCTACTTGAAGCCAAATGCATCGCTGTGAATTGTGTTTTAGAGGGTCATCAAGAAGAGCTCAATTCAAAAGGGATGCATTTTCCAACTGAAAGTACACTTTGATATGCATTCTCCCTCTGAAATGCAACGTGCCAGGCACAATTGAACATACATAGCCTGGGGTTATTTCTAGAGATGCTGTTAGATCTCCTCCTGCAAGGGAAGGTGAGATTTGTAAGCAGTCTGAATTCAGACTATTTACAAGGAAAAATCGGTGAAAGATACTGGATCCCAATACCACCATTACCTTTAAGTACCCCTAGAATCTTTTAATTCAAGGGACTAAAAATGAAGCCCTTATGCACATCAAAAATTTTTCTCCATACAAGCACAGAAAGTATAGCACATATAAATTCATGGTCATCATTACTACTTTTTCAACTCTATGGTCAATTGAAGTTAATGATATACAGCATTTAAATTTTACAGTATTTATGTGATTTATAACAAGATTTTATATATATTTCTTAAACAGGTTTATTCTCTCCAGAAACACAGCTGGGATATTTCTAAATAAGATAGGTTACAGTCTTCAGAACTTCACTGATCACATAAAACTACTTGAAAAAAAACCAGCAAACCAAAGACATTGTCAAGCATATACATTGAAATGTTCCGGTAATAAAAAGCTCATATTATAGAAACACTGTTAACTTCTTGCATTGTCTTCTATATGTATTTCAGTAAAAAGCAAGATTTCTGGAATTAACCCCAAATACCTCCAAATACATTTCACAATTCTAAATTCAAGTTCAATATGAATATTTATTTATACAAAAGAAAGCACTTCCTAATCTTAAAAATTGTTGGCTAATGTGTTAAAGGATTCAAAGGCCTGTTGCCAAGACTGCTTTAGCTACTTACACCCATGGTCAGCAAACACTAAGAAAATGGTTAAGACATAGAGTAATATGCTTTGTGCTCCATAAGTTTGTCATCCTGCCCAGAGCTTCTGAGCTGCAGTTGCCCAAATGGTTTATACATAGTACTAGAATTCAGAGTAAAATTACTATCCCTCCTAGAAACATTTCTAATTGCAGCAAAGAAACATTTATACTAAGAATCAGTGTATGAGTTCCTGCGTAAGTTTCTTTTCTAAAAAGCTGCAGATCATAAAAATGTATATATATGGATAATATCTGGGGCAAGGACACTAAAAAAAGTGGCCAAATGAGCTCACTATTTTTATCTGAATGAGGTTCACTCTGAAATATTGTTTTATACAATAAAACAAAACCATTAAGTCAAACTGTAATGGTAGTTCCGTCAGAAATTCTAATCACAGACAGGAATTTCTAAAGATGAGACAAAGCTTTTCCTGGTAATAGACCAGTTTTGACTGGTATATATACACCAGTGGGCTTAGGCAAGAAAATGTAGTTGTCTGGAACAGAGAATAAATAACTTGTTGGTCTGAGTAAGCAGCTGGATTAGTGAAGTCCATATATCTTTGCTTTGCTTTGCTGGATTTAGAGCAGGGAGTTGAGTCCATGTGAGGACCCTAACCAGACAGTGATAAGCTGTCTTTCTTTTTAGCTTGATGAGTACTTATTCAGCTATACACAATGGAGCAGATCCAACCACGAAGAGGCCAGTCTTTAACACCAGAATAGTCCCCAGCTCAGCCGTCAGACAGCAACGTGACCATTCCTGAGTCTGATTCAGGCAGGGTCTGATTCAAAGGCAGGTCTCCCAAATCCCCCGAGGATACCATAGCAATGAGGCAATTGGCTGTGATGCGTGTCTGTCTGTTCAAAAGGTTATTTGGTTCTGATGCAGAATGTGTAAAAAAAGTCTCTTCACGGACTGTCCTTTCAATAGGCTAGACTGTCCAAGTTCTCTGTACGAACCAATGAATTTGCAGAAAAAGCTGAGCAGAACCTGTCGCAATGCCTGTCCATGGAGATAGGTGATGTGACTCGGGTACACCTGGCTGCATATGAGCAGGTAGTGCTCTGCAGCTTTTCCATGCGAACATCGCATATAATGGTTTGCTGCAGGAGCAGGAACTAGGGAATATTAACAAAACTACTGTTATCAATATTAGAAATAGCTGTTTTAATGTACCTAGACATATCCACAAAGCGGCAACTGTTCACGCACATACAGTATGAAGAGGAAGAAGGGCAGAACTGCCCCGGCGTCCCGGCGCGGCCAGCATCCCTGCACGCCCCGGGCGCTGCCCCCGCTCGCCGACGCAGGATGGCGCTCTCCGTATGAGCAATTAACCCGGGGCAGCAGGCTGGAGATGCATTTCCAGAATAAAGTTTTTTTCTGAATGCTCGTATTCCCAAGGAGCATTGATTTTATAGCTCCGGTTTTCAATGCGGTGGTACCTTCTACTACTACCCTAACCATTGTTACATTAATTTGCCTGGCGACGGTAAACGGATCTCTCAAGGAAGCGTTCGCTGTGCTGTTTCAGAATGAATAGCGACAAAGGTAACTATTTAGGACATTGTGCTTATTTTGTTAGAGCTGCAGTTAAAAGATTTCACATACTAGTTTACCTATAGTATTGTTTCATATTAAAATGTAATTGTGTTGCGTTTATTTGAAACGATGAATGCCAGCCACGGCTCTGATTTCACCATCTCACAGGGCACAAAGCCAGCCCCCGCTGACCATCAGACTCCTGCTGACTGTTTGACTTTGCAGGCCGATCCTGCTGTTTCGATGCCCGGAGAAGTCCTGGAGTAGCTGTGCTCTTGGACCTTTCTCTGCAATCATTTCACAGCCCAGCCAGATATTAGAGAGTCACCAGAAGCTGCAATTACACCTACTACCTCCGGCTGGGGAGGAAAACCCGCACCCGCACCATTTGGGAAATAGAGTTAGCAGAAGCTTGAAACCTTAGAACCTAGGTATAGGAAGGATTCCCCCCCCCCCCCCTCCCCTTTTTTTTTCTCTTTTTTCGGCAATCGGAAATTAATTCGGTGGTTAGCGGGCGAATGGGAGCTCCAGCCCACTCTCCGTGTGAGCCTCTCGCCGGCAGCGCTGGCTGCCCGCAGCAGGGCCGATCCGCAAGCGGCCAGCCGCCCGCTCCCATGCGCATTCCCTGCCCTGCCGGCCAGGGGGGCGATGCCGCGGCCCCGGCCCGGCCGCAGACGGAACTGAAAGCGCTGTGCCAGCAGGGCCGGGACCCCCGGTCTCGGCGCGATGCTGGCCCGGCTGCTGCTGGCCGCGCGGGCTTCGCACACCGCCTGCCCTCCGCTGCAAATGGTGGCCGGGAGGTTTCCTTTATTAACGCCGGCAACGGGCCGCGGGCGCGCAGCACGACAGCAGCGGGGCGATGGCAGCAGGGGGTCGCCCCAGCCGGCCGGCCGCCGGCAGTGCCCGTGCCCGGCGCCCGCCGCAGGCACCCGCGGCTGCGGCTGCCCGGGCCGGGCCGGGCTCCCCTCAGGCGGCTCCGCGCGGGGGTCCCGCGCCCCTCCCGCTCCCGCGCCGCCGGCTGCGCCCCTGCCCCCCCGCCGCCACGTGACGGGCGCGCATGCGCGGCGGTCCGGGGCACATCTGCAGGCTGACGTCAGCGGGCCCCGCGCCGTCCCCCGGGCGAGGCTGCCAAGGCTCCCCCGCTGCCGCCGCGCTCGGCTTGGCCCGGCGCCGGCAGCCAGAGGAGGTCTGGGGCTACTTCAACCAAACTTTCCTGAGTCCTTCCTGCTCTGCCTGCCTCCCCTCTGCTCCCCTTCTCTTTCCCCCCTTTCTGTCTCCCGGTCCCCCCTCCCCCCGCAACTCAGATGATATTCACATGGTATTTTGCACAGAGGAGGCTGCTCAAGAGGAGGGCACCCACCCCCACCCCAATATAAGCCTGTTTTCCCCTCCTTCCTCCTCTCCCCCCCTTTTTTGTTGGAAAGACAAAATGTGCAGGGTGATAGCTTCGGTGAATTGATGGCATCCTTCCTCCTGCCAAGCCAACCCGTTTTCTAAAATCCCCTTTAGGAAGGCTAGAGAATTTTATTCTGTTGGAGAATAGAACCCTGATGGTTGCTTGCACAGAGGGGAAAAGCAGAGAGGAATACGGGAATCGTCCTGTGCAATCTATTGTTTGAAACTTACTTTATATCAGAAATTGAAGATGAAAACGGTAAGGAAGATTTCACGCTATTCAATGAAACTTTTTGCTTTTCTTGTGTCCCGAATAATGGTGCGTGCAGGGCTTTGGGGAGCGGGGGAGATTTATATTGCATTAGGCGAGGTGCATTTGGAGTAATTTCAGAGAGAAGCCTTGAGATGGGGGAAGGGGGTGCGAGGATTTTTCAGCCGATAAGAGAGGTGATTGATGAAGTACCATCTCGAATAGTGCACTTTTTAAAAGATTTTTTTTATACTTTGAATACTAAACCGTTGGTAGAAGCAGAAAAGGAAAAACAAAACCAAACCAAAACCAAACAACAGATGAAAACCAAAGCAGCCCCTAAACCCCAGCGACAACCCAGGGCTATTCCGGATTGCTGCTGAGTTGAGGACGCCCCGCTCTCGGCCGTGCCGTGTCCGGCGGTGTCCGCTGCCGCGGTCGGACAAGTGCACACTTTGTACCGGGGCTTGGAGGTCGGCGCGGCCGCCGTCCCGCAGCGGTGCTGGCGGGGATGTCGGGCTCTCGCTGGGCTCATCAGGAAGATGGAAGCGTGTGGTTTTGATTTACTTCGAGCCGCTTGGGATTTGCCAGACTCTTAACCCCGCGGACTCGTGTTTGTCGGTGTATGTCTGTCTCCGCAGTCGCCCAGGGTTCAAAGGGACTTTGTTTGGTGGGAGGAGGTAAGTGGGCTTTCGCTCCCCGGCGATTTGCGTGCGGATTTTGTCTTCGCTACTTTCTTTCATTGTTGTACAAGAGAGAAGGGAGCGAGAGGGAGAGAGTCAGACTCTTGTTTTTATTTGGGCTGCCGGTGCAACGCGTTTGGGCCAAACGCCAAGTGTCTGGGTCACACGCGTTTTATCCAAATAGATTCAGCGCTGCTGTCTGGAAATGGGCTGCTGAAAGTTAACTTTAGGATCAGCTCCACCACAGCAACCAGACTCTTCCCTTCAGCCTCTCTAGGGAGGACGGATTTTTTTTTTTTTCCTTCTGCCTTTTTTTTTTTTTTTTTTTTTTTTGGGTTTTTTTTTTTTTTTTTTTTTTTTTTTTTTTTTTTTTTTTTTTTTTTTTTNTTTTTTTTTTTTTTTTTTTTTTTTTTTGAGGGATGTGTGTCTGGTGACTTCCAATTTTTTTTTTTTTTTTTTTTTTTTTTTTTTTTTTTGTGTGCAGACGTGTACAGATAATGTGTTTTTTTTTTCGTGTTTAAATGTGTGTGTAGCCATGTATTTTCCTAGCCTGTTGACTTTTCCTTTTGGTGGGGTGGGTGTTGCTTTTTCGGTAGATGCAGTGACAGCTGCCCCGTCGGCACGGCCGGCGGGGAGCATGTGGGCTAGCGGGGGGTTCATACGGTGGCGGCCCCGTCCTACGCCGGGGCCCGCACAGCAGTAATTTTACTCCTCACGCCTCGGCTTCTGGTTAATTCCCGGGGAAAAGGTTCGATCTTTTCCCTTTGTACGTGTCCCTCTCCCCACCGCTCCTGGCCCCCCTTCTTCTTCACCGAGCTCTTCCCGTCGCGGTCTGCGCACTGCAGTTCTCGCCTGGGGAAGCTCCCGGGGGCACTGCTAATCCGCGGCTTTTGAAGCCCGGCGAAGTTTTTCACGGCCAGCCGCGATACCTGTAATTGAATTTGTGTGATTGATGCCCGTCCCCCGCCCTCCCCATTTCCTTAGCAACCACTCGTGGTGCCGGGCGGGCGCACGGCCGCCCCTGCCCGCGCCTCACCGCGGGCTCCCGCCGCCCGCGCGGCGCGGCCGCGGAGGGCGGGAAGGCGGCGGGGCCGGGCCGCCGGGGCGGGGGCGTGGAGGACAGCCCCCGTCCCGCCCGCCGGGGCGGCGGGTCCCTTTTCCGATCGTCGCTCTGCTCGACCCCGCCCCGAGACGTAGCGGCGGTCTGGGCGCTGTGATCCGGCGGTGCGCTGCCGTGTGTTTTCTGGCACCTCCCGAGCCCGCCGGAGCCCATCGGTTCTGCCGTGGACTCCCCTGGTGTGGCGGTTGTCTTGGCACATCGGTCTCGGCTGCTGCCCTGTTGTAAAACTGCCTTCAGGTTAAGTGATGCCTTAGTTGCTCGAGGCACGTTTATTTAAATGGAGGCTCTCATGGTGGCTGCTCTGAGCAGTGTGGCTAGTCACCTCTTCATAGTCCACTTTATCACGGAATCATATAGGTTGAAGAGGATTTCTAAGGTCATTGAGTCCAACTATGACTGAACTATCAACTAGACCATGGCATCAAGTGCCGTCCAGGCTTTCCTTAAACACCTCCAGTGACCGTGACCACCCACTTTCCTGAGCACCCTATTCCAATGTCTTAATCACCCTTTCTGTGAATAAATTCTTCCTCGTATCCAGCCTAAACGACCCCTGCTGCAGCTTGAGGATATGTTCTGTCACTTGTTGCCTGAGATAAGAGACCCCCACCTGGCTACACTTTCAGGCAACTGTAGAGAGCGATAAAGTCATCCCTGAGCCACCTTTTCTCCAAGCTAAACATCCCCAGGTCCTTCAGTCACCTCGCATAAGACTTGTGCTCCAATAACTGTGGCCATTTTTCTCTTCACTGAGTGTCACTGGGTAGGAACCTCAAGACACCGGTGACAGGACTGCCATGGTTATCAGTGCCTTCACAGAAATGCCAGTGCCATGCAGATGTTTTGTCACTGACGTCAGAAAACATCTTGTACTATTCCTTCCCTGTTTGGCAGAGCTCTTAGATGGGATCTGTGGTTTTAGGTGGTGGTTGAGGACATGGAGCCACACCTATGTTAACCACTGGATGATTGTGTAGTTCACCATGTGATACACTAGACGTTTCTTGTTGTAAGCTTATTATTGACCAAATTTTGCATCTTAACAACAACCTACAGGCTGCCATGAAAATAGGCTGGCAAAGAAGGTGGAATTATAACAAAAAGGATATAGAGTCCAGACTTTGATGTTCCTACCAAATGTCACACTTAGACTATTTTATCTTGAAGTTACCTGAGTGCTTTATCATTCACATCCATTACCACTCTTTAATTGGAAATATTAATATAGCTTCATATGGTCAGCTTATATCCATGGTCAAGCTGGCAATATTTATGAAGAAGAGTTAAAAAATTCTGCTGAAACTTTGGGAAAGCTTGATATGAAAGGAGATTGGTCTTTTAGGGAGCTTGAAATGAGAGAGACCACTTCAGAGATCTCTGCAATAACACTAGACATGAGTGACTGTTTAACATTGTTGACTAAGATATGGTTATGGTCCACCATGTGGGCCATTGGTGGGTAAATAATAAATAATGGTACTAAATAATGGGTACTCTTAATTTATGTCCAGTATTCTGAGCTATCTAGCTCCTTAGGTACTGCAGCTTCAGGAGATCCTAATTTTAGGATAACTTATTATCAGCCTAACAGGCTGAACATGAGCTCCCTGTTAGAATATTTTGGCTAAGTAAAAGCTGTAAGGCTATATTACCTCTATATATGGTGTTAACGAGCCATTACTGGACTACAGTTCCCAGTTCTAGTGTCTGCAGATAAAAAAGGATGCTGGCGAATTGGAAGCGATTCAGAGAAAAACTGCAGAAGGATTCAGTCATCTGGAAACTGGATTATACAGAATGAAATAAATCAAATAGGTTGAGCTGCTAATCAGGAAGTGTCCAGAGATGCTTGTATCAGATTATAACTATGCACACGCGGAAAAGAAACCAGCTCATTAGCAGACCAGGATAAAGCAAGATTCAGTGACAAGACTTTGAAAGTATACATTCTCAGATTAGAAATAAGGCACATTACTTATTGTACTAATGTAGCTGAAAGAGTAGGGAGTTAATTATGTATCTTCAAAACTTGCAAAATTCTAAGAACTGTAACTAAATATTTGCTAGGAAATAAAAGTTCTACATAGCAATTCAAACAAAGAGCATTTTTATTAATGTGCTTTGAGGCCTAGCCATATGTGAATGGCATCACAAAGTCTGCTTCCCAGGGAAAAAAATAATACTAAGCAAAAAGCATGTTTGCAGAGTACCTCTTAGTCTCTTGCCAAAGCTGAATAAATCCTGTGTGCTGTCTTGAAATATTTTTAAAAGGTCAGATAAACCTCATTTGTACATTATAATTAGTAATCAGCATGTTTGAAACAGGCTAAGATGTTATCTAAATATTCATTGTAATCTTGGTAAATAGGATTTGGGTGATGATTTTTTTTCTTAATATTTTATGTCACAGCACTTTATAAAACCTTCATAAATAATCCATTAGCTGCAGCTGTATTGCCTGTCTGAATGAATGAATGTTGTAAATCATTCCCAGAATTTCAGAAAGGCATATATATCTGGTGCATGTGTCTGGTGCAAGTGACTCTGTATGCTTGTGGAAGTTGGTTTTTACACAAGCTTCCCTTCGTAGGTGTTCTGTTTCTGCATTGTCTGCGTCAGCAGAGTTTGTGCACAGGTGTGCTGAGAGTGTTTAAGTGGACTGATGAGTACCAGCTGACACAACACATAGTTTGGTATCCCATGATACTGGATTGTTAGTTGACTGTATGGATCTTCCATTTCATCCCTGACTGCACCTAGAGCTGCTTTTTACTGTTGTTGGACTGTTGTAAAAAAAAAAAAAAAAAAAAAATCAAATATTTGAAATATTGTAATGTGTTTGATGAATAGCTTTAGATACTAAAATTTGTTCTTTAGTATTCTAACATACAGCATTCCCATCTAAGTGAATGGGAATTCTGCCTGCATAAGCAGAACCCTAGCCCTAGTAATAAAAAAAATACATGCTTTTTAGAATGATCAGATAACTGTACTCTGGATTCCTTCCCAGGTTCTTTCTTTATCTATCAGTATGTTGGGATGTGTTATTAACAGTTGAAATCAATGAGTGCATATAATTGATTATAGATTGACCAAGTCTGAACACAATATCTGAGCTACGAGAAACACTAAATAGGTGTAAGAATTCATAAGAATAACATGAAGTTGATAAGTCCATCATAGGCTGTATGGATCTGCATTTCAAGGTTAATGGTAACTCTTTTTCTGTTTTTTTCTTTCTGTAAGATTGTGAGCTTGGATGTAACCATGAAATGGATACTGAATATTATTTCAAAATGTTGCCCTGTGTAATAAGCCACTGTCATGGTTTAATATTTTATAGCATAGATCTGTTTTAATAGAAAGAATTTGCCTTGACTCATGTTCTTCTGTTTTTCAGGAAAAGAAATGGAGCAATTTCAGTAACTATCCTATCTAACATCTGTCTCACATCTTAAGGAATCTTACAAATACTCACTTTGAATTGAGAAAATGACTGCAGCTATAGAAGAAAGTACCTGCCCAGAAAGTGGAACATCCTATAGTTAATTAGAAAGTAGTATAAAATAAATATATCTGTTATGGTGCGATTCTGGAGTGAGGTTAACTCTATAGCACACAGGTAGCTCTCCAAGGAGAAAGAAAAAAGAACTTTCTGTTTTTCTAAATTATGGAAATTTTTTGGAAAACGTGGACATGGATTTTGAGCCTAGTCATGGTTTCATCGGAATTTCTCAGTAACGGCAGGCTTTCATACAGTTCTCAAGGTAGGGGTCCAATCTCTGTAGCTGGCAAGAAGCATGTATTTTTGCATTGTATTTGTGTAATATTTTCTAAACCATATTTATATAATTCATGAGCTCATCTGGGCTCTGCTCTTATTTTTATCATGATTAATTGTCATACAGATAAAATTTCCTTGTTCTAATTTCTCTCTGTCTACTTTTAACTGTAGGAAAGCTATGCAAATTAAATCTCATAAAATGTACTTGATAATATTTGAGAGACTTGCCATGATAAAATTAACATGCTTTTAGACTAGGAAGTAAGAATCTAATCTTGTTTTTACAATATAATCCTTTTCATTACTACTGTTTGTATTATTGCAAGTGGAATTTATAGCTTTTGTCTTTGAATGGTAGCTCTGGGAAAAATATGCCCTTCTTAAATTAGCCCCAATTATTTACATATTTTTGGTAAATAGGAAAAGATAGGTATTAAAAAACTTTTCTATTTCCAAAGTGATAAGCATATTAATAGGAAATCAAACACATTTTCTTGATTTACAAAAAAATAATGTTTTATTTTATTTTGTAAAATGCTGCATTATGCACTTACCTGAAGGTGATTTTTACTCATGAGAGTGATGAAATTTACCCAAAAATGGTCTATGTTTATGCTACTACTTGTTGTTTCCTGTTATATTTTCTTCTCTTCTATGCCCACTCCCTGGACTGTCTTACCTTGTGATTGATTACAAAGAGGAATTCCTGTCTTACCTTGAACACTACCAACTAACAATCCCAATAAGGGTTGATCAAAATGGAGCCTTCCTCAGCTTTACTGTGAAAAATCCTAAACCCTCAAGAAGGAGGAGGAGCACAGACCCTTATGACCAAGAACTGGCAGCATCTAAATTATTTTTTAAACTTTCTGCCTATGGCAAGCACTTTCATTTAAACCTGACTCTCAACACAGATTTGGTGTCCAGACATTTTACAGTAGAGTACTGGGGGAAAGATGGACCGCAATGGAAGCACGATTTCTTAGACCACTGTCATTACACAGGATATTTGCAAGACCAACACAGTACAACTAAAGTGGCCTTAAGCAACTGCAATGGTCTGGTAAGTCCATATTACATGTTATAGTATAACAGTATGCTTGTCCCTTTTAAATTACAGAAGATTTAAATTGGCATCTCAGTTTTTCAAGTCCCCGTGGGAAGCAAGTAGACAGGAAGGTGCAGAGAATCTCTAAAACCTGACCTAGGTCTTGGGGAAAAGTAGATGTCAGTTTCTCAAGCTTAATATAAGTAATGAGACTCAATTCTGTAGTCTTCTAGGAGGCAACTGCTGTAGTGTTTATAGTGTCTACACTGGGGTTGCAGGATTGTATCTGTGCTGAGATCTTTACAGTTGTAAGAGCCTTTCAGGCTCAAGGAGGGGCAGGGAGGAGGAAACACTAGATCCTCCAGGGTACTGAATCTCTACAGAGAGATGTTGATTGGACTGAATACCCACTGTCTTTGAGTATTTGGGTTTAAAAACTGAGTAAATAAAAGAAGAGGAATTGCTTGGTGTAGACATCATCCTTCTATGAATTCAAAACATGAAAAGTCTTTAGCAAGTGACAGCATCAGAAAGTAATTATATAAATTTTTTACCAGAAAGATTTTGTTTACAAATTATAAACTTTGCATTTAGAAGTAATATTAGAAGGTTTTACCTAATTTATTCTCATCTCTTCTCTTACTGGTGATCTTTTGATCACAGGACAGTAGTACGTGCATGGAAAAAGAAATTAGAAAATGAATGCAAAGAAATAAAAAAGCAGACTATTGAGTAACAAAATACTAAAATAGAAAGGTATGTCTATGAAACATTAAATCAAGAGCTAGTGTTTTCTCTAGTAAAAATATACATATATATTATGGTTTCTCATTCTTGTTTTTATTATGATAGAATGCTGGTCAATCTTGTTAGCAATAGGCAGATCTAACTAATTGCTGTGTTAAAAAAAAAAGATTATGCAGAATTGCTAAGCTAATTCTCATTTTTCCTTGGAAGCACTATTGAATAATGCTTCTTAGGGTGTTACTTTCAAAAAATAGAAAGCTGTTTCAGACCTAGATAGGTTGCATTACACTCAACTACTTGTGATATGCCTGATACAGGCTAGTTTAACATTTCAAAATGTTCCTGAAGAAAAATATTTAATGGGGATTTCCAACACTAAGTGAACACTTTCAAAGAAATGTAGTTAAAATGATGTTCCATTGAATGTGCTATTACAGTTTGGTTCATGTAGACTAATAGCAGATAGGTCTGAAATTAGTACAAATTTCAGTTTAATTGCAGTTTCCATGTAATAGTATTTCCCCCCCCTCTGATTACAGTTATTCAGACTTCAAACTAGTGCACTCCATCTTTGCTTGAATTCTTTTCAGCTAAAAATATGATGGAGACAAAGTCCCTTCTTTCAGGACTCATTATTTAAAAGAGGCTGCAAACCTTTTTATGCTAATTACTTCATGCTAATTGATGCACAGACTAGTTGGTCCCCTTGGAGACTGCAGTAAATTCCATGGTGATCCCACTTCAGTTCCTCTTTTACCTTGGCTAGGGGAGTGAGCCAAGAACTCCTGCCCTTGCCATAGCTGACTCTTTTCCTTTCATGTTAGGAAAATAAAAGAGGGATGAAGCACAAAATAGTCTGTATTTTTCTATCATCTTTTCCCATCTGTTGATCCTTATGTCACTTCTTTTTTCTTCTAAAAAGCATGGAAGATGTCATAAGGAAGCAGAATCTTTTTTTTTTTTGTTCTGTGCCTGACACTCTGAGGTGACATTTAGCGTGTTTTTCCTTTGCCCTTAGGCTGTCCATTTTGCTTGGAGAGAGGCTGCTTGTGGTTTCAGGTGTCAGTATTTTAACTTTGTATTTGTAAGTTAACTTCTGTGTAGAGTGTTTCCCAGTTAAATCATCATCAGTGGCTGTGATTGTTGTCAGTCCTTATGTGTGTCTTTCAGGTGTTAAGGCAGTTTTAATCTAGTCTTTGGGCACACAAAATCTTCATGATCATGCCTCTTTACTTGGGACTTCATGTATCAGTTGTGCATTGCATCTCTCAGGAAGATTTGGTCACAAGCATGTGAGGCTCCTGTGTTGCTCCAGAAACATCAGCAGGGTGACACATGGCTCTGTCTCAGAGGCATGAATCCTGCAGAGGGTGCAGCAGTAGTCTTAACTTGGTACCATCCTTTGCTGTATGGGAACACTTCAGTGTTGGCAGTGCCTTCCAAAGCACAGTGTATGGGAGTCACCACTCCATTGAGATAAATGCATCACAAAGTTATTTTTAAATTAAGATTCCTACTAATGAATGTTTTGTTATACAGTTGCTGATTAGAACATGTTTAATAAAGCAACTGGCAGTGAATATTGAAGATGATATTACTTGTTTTAAAGTTAGCAATAGCTCAGAATGCATTGTACTTAAGGGATTTGTTGTATTTTCCAGTTTGATTGCTGGTCTGTGATTGCTAATCATAGTCTAATAGTCCTTGATTGACATCTGTATTAAAGCTAGTCATTGTAAGTTTAATTCTGAAGCAGGTAGTAAATAATATTTAATAGGCTGTAATATTTAATAGTGAGTGTTGCTCACAAATAAAATGTATGCAATATATTTACTCTGGTTGCCCTGTTAGGTTTCACTGTTGACAAATAGGTCAAATTTTTTTCCCTTATTGAATGTCTTGAATTATTCTTATTAGTTATTCAGAGTGGTTATGTAAGTGGTTATGTAAGAACATGATTTAAATAACATATGTTGTATGTCTTTGAAGAACACTTACATTGAGATAAATGTGTTTCATTATAATAAAACTGACAGGCAATCAGTTGATTTTCCTATCTCTGTTTCTTGTTTCAGCCTCTCCCTCTATATTTCTCTTTACCAAGTGCCCTAGAATTACAGGCTGCTAGTCATTGAAGTTTCAGTCCAGCAGCATCCATCTGCTGGCCCCTGATTATGCTATAAATTGTCTGAAGTTGCGAGTAAAGCTCTATAATCCAGTGAGCATTCATGTGAGGAAATTGAAGGTCTTGTCCACAGGCTTGCTGGCTTCCAAACTCATGTTTACTGTAGTGGATGCTAACTTGCGGGTGGATTGCAGGTTGGGTGTATCATGAAAGAGCCTACAGTGAGCAGCATTTTAGGGACTTTGGATGTTGGGTACAAGACAACCAGACTGAGACATTTTCTAAGCTGATGATTTCTTTCTGAAGGAAAGATGAAAAGAAATGGTGGTAGGCTAGCTGAAGAGAGAGGAACTTCACCTCAGGGGAAAGGAGTTTGACTGACTCTGGGAGGAGCAAATGTCAGCGAAGTTCTGGAGCCTTCACTAATGGCATCAAGCAAAACCCAAACTCTTTGCATTTTGACTCACCTTTGTCCTCTGCCAGGTGTCAAAGCTCTTAACTGAGTGCTCTAACAAGTTTTGCGTGATAGAAAATTTTCCAATTTTGGGCTGAAAAGTTCAGTATTAGGAACTATTTTGAGGCTACTCTGGTCCCAAGTAAATGGTTTTACATTAAATGGTTAATGTAAAGCATGCAGTATTTCCATATATGTGAAGTTCATGCATTGCATAGTGTTCGTGCTGGACAGCACAGTTATCTCCATCCAAACAGAAATGATAAAGAAGGCACAGGTAGGTGTCTGTGGCTTAAGAGAATAAGCTTACTTTTTCAGTGGGGAATTATTTTGCTGGAAGACTTAATGTTTGCTTCATGTTTTCCTAAATACATATATTTATAAATTACTAATATTTTTTGTGAGAGTTAGTTAATTTGAAAACGATTTTTACTCTAAACAATACATCTACTTTTATAGATAATAATTGACATACAATATGGTATTTTTAACTGCATGTGAAATAATTCTTTATCAGTGTCTTTAGGGATATCTTTGATACTCATATGTTTTTGCAGTACATCAGTATTCAGAAAATGATATACAAGCTGTTCCTATCCTAGTTTTAAGGTTTTAAGTTTTTGTTAGATTCCATGATGCACTCTCTCAGGCCAGATCACTTTTTTTTTCATCTTTGAGAGCACAGTAAGTTAATGCAATCTTTTTCCTCGATCATAAAATCATAGTGTATAGCCAGCTGTTGACATACTGAACAACACTGACTTGTTTTCAGAAGTTTCCATTACTAGTACTTTATATTAAAGATGGATAAAGCATAAAGCCTAAAAAGATTCAAGGCATGGAAAAATTGTGAAACTGCTGTGTGGAAAAGGCATGTGCTTACTTGTCCCCCCTAATTCAGTTTGTTTTTGCAACTGATGGATGTCCCCCATCTGAAGGAGGTTAAGGCCCTGGCTGGACAGTCTGACAGAAAAAGATTCTTTTTCACAAATTCAGGGGAACTCCATGTGGATTCACAGATTTGTCTGAGCATGTCAAAATGCTGGAACCAGACCTTGTATATGTTAGCATGAATTGGCAGTCTGTAGTGGGATTGGATAACATGGAACCTCAAACAATCTGTTTTAGATAATAATCTTGGGAATGTTCCTTGTAGTAACATACTTGGTACATTCAGCTTGTTTCTTATATCCATGGTATTATGTCAAAACCTTTTCTGGTCATTCTTATGTCTTAATGATATTTCTGATGCTTTGGAGCAGAAGTTTAACTTATGAACTGTTAAAATACAATAGCAACACTTAAAAAGAAAATGAAAATTAATTCATTTTAATGTGTTAAATGGGCATTATTTCAAACTCCTTTTTCAACTGAAGTTTTGTTTTCTTCAGATAGTGTATTATAAATGAAGGCTGGTATTTAGAATGTTGGTTGGATATATATTTCCCACTATGTATTAATCAGATATTGCTGAATACATAAACAATGTGAGTATCTGTAGCCACATGGATTTTTGAAACCTAGAATATATGTTGGCCATCACCAAGGTACTTTTTAGTTGCAGTATTCAAAGTTCTTCTTAAAAATCAGTCATTTCACAGTTGAGTCGCTGTGATTCATCAAGACCACTTGCATCAATTTAGCACTGGAAGAACAATTTTGTTCTTCCAGTGTTAAATTATGGAAGTATAAGCCTGGAATTGGTAGATGCATAAATGCATATTTGCCTATGCAGAGTCATTGTGTTTCCAGTGCTAATTGAATCACTCATCTGGCTGTAGCAACTGACCACACATGCTTTCACTACCTGCTTGTAGATCTATGTTAAAATTTATTTGCAGTTCCTTAACTAAGCCTTATTAGAATGTATTTTCGTACGTACCATAGCATTTGGGAAAATGAGATCAGATATTAGCTATGCATTGGAAGAAGTGGTGATGCTGTCCTTACTGCTGACACCTGAAGGAACTGTGGCCATTGTTTGCAGATGTTCTTTAGTTATTTGCAGGAGCAAGTATGCAATTTGTATAGAGAATTAATGCTGCAATTAAGTGTTTATGATATCTGAATTAACTTAGTTCTGCTGAGGTAATCTTGCCACTTATAATTATCAGTTTCAGTATCTGATATAATTATCTCATTTCTGCTTAGACTTACAAACATGGCTAGCCTTGAGTACAGACAAGAAGAATGTATGTTCTGGAGGAATTTAAGTTAGGACCCACTCTGAGACGGTGCCACAGATTGGATGGTACCTCTGTCTTCTCAGGCCTGGCATGAAGCAGACAGCCTGATGGTGTTGGCCAGAACCACTCTGCAGGACTCTCTTCCTGTGGGAACATAATACCAGAGCTTACAATGGCTCAGGATTCACTTGAACCCAGATGTCTGACATGCAGACTGGATGCAGTCCAAACTGTCAAGGTTCTTTCTGCACATCTGGCAAGCCCAGTTACAATTTGGTTTATATTTTCAATACTGTTTAAGCAGCAGTATACCAGTAAATGATTTATTTTTTAGTAAAATCTTAGACTTCACGTTACAAGAAGGCATTGTAAGAGGAATTTGATACTGGCATTTTCCAGGTGAATTTAGACCCTGATGTTACCTTCTGAGTTAATAATTGAGTTAGTAGTGAAAAATACCACTGAAGAGGAGCACTTATTTTTGCATTCACAATGTAAGGAATGAATAATTGAAAGCTGCAGTCGGTTCATACATATATTTTCACCATTTATAATAGAGTTCTCTTTGGAAAACACTTGTTTCTGACATATTACATAGGATTTTTATTTTGTAAGTTTTATAATGTTGTTTCAGAAGTGAAGGAACAGTAGGCATTTTATGTACAAAACAGTGGCAGGACAAGAGCTTTGACCAAGAGTACAAAGACAAATTCTGATCTTTGAGAACAGCTTTATGATTTTTAGAGCAGATAGAGAGCAAGTGGTCTTATGACTCATCATAGAGGTCTTAAAAAAGATTCATGTGTAGTACATGTTTTACAGATTAAAGATGTGGTAGAAATTTGTGATTCATCAAGTCAGGTTATGAATTTAGCAGTTCCTGCTTCCAGGCTTCTGTATGATGAATAGCTCTTCCCTGTGTAGAAAGTTTGTACATTCATAATTTTCTACATAGGAGTATCAGAATTTGTTATTTAGAAAACATTGGTGTAGAAGTATGTCAGGGCTTATTCCCCAATATTTCCATATCTGAAATGATCCAAAACCTGGATTTTCTGCTAAAGTTCAGTTTTAATTGCTGAAGGTTCAGGAAATTGCATACTTGGCCCGAAATCTCCCCTTTCTTCCATAAACCACTTCCTGTTTGGAAGAAGCTGAGTTCACAAATGTGAAAGTTATGAGAATAGAATATCTACTATTCTGCACTGCAGTATGAGGAAAAGAAATATTCATTTGTTATGGAGAATGAGATCTAGTGTACAGTCTGCAATAACTCTTGTTTACTAGATTTATGGCAGCAGTTTTTATGGAATAAATGCTTTGTAGACAGAGTAACTTAATATAAATAATTTGATTTCTATTAAATAGCTCAGTTTTGGGATTGTGTCTGGATTTAAAATAAAAATGCTTTCTTTAAGCATGTGTTCCAAAATTGATCCTTCATGGTGTTTGTCTTTGATGAAGTATTTGGCTTTAAGCATTCAGCAGTGTGGCATCACAGGGATATTGGACCTGCATTAGAGCAAGGCCATTTTGGCTTGGTGTAATTTTTAATGGATAATGAATCATGTCATTTCAGAACATCCCTGTGTACAAATGATTTGTAATATTCTGAGAATATCTCTTGCTTTTTTAACTGCATCTACCAACAAAACCTGAAAGTTCTCGACAAATAGGACAATGATAGTTTTATTTTTTCTCACTGTATTGTTTATAGGCACCTACTTTGCTCATACTAAATCAGCAGACAAGAGCTGGCTCATACACTGTTTTATGTGTTAGCTTCTAGCTGTGAATTTCTTCACAGAGAATGTTTTCTAAAGTTAAGTTTTGTGATAGTAGTTTCATATTGTCTATTTTAAGCTTTTGTTTTCTTATTTACTTCTTTAAGCATGGAGTCATTGCTACAGAAGATGATGAGTATTTTATTGAGCCTTTAAGAAATATAACAGAAGATTCTAGTAACTATAATTACGAGAATGGTCAACCTCATGTTATATACAAAAAATCTACCATGCACCAGCAGCACCTCTATGATCACAGTCACTGTGGAGTATCAGGTAAACAAGAATGAGTGTTATTCCTTTTAAAAAATGGTAACTTGAGATGCATTTTAATATCTTTCTTGTTTCACATTTAAGACGTAGGGAAGGATGTTGGTATGAGAATCTTCTTTCTGGGTGATGTAATGTCTTGTTGAAAAGTAGATTTGATTTTTCTTTTTTTTCAGATTGAGAATATAGTGTATTTAAAAAACTAAGATAGCAGGAGTAAGTCTTGTTTTATGCCTATGTTGTGTACAGTGGTAGAAATGAGTGCAGGCTTCCTCAAAATGTGTATAAATGTACTTCATTTCCCAACAGAAAAGCGTGCTTGAATGACTACATATTACAGCTCAGTGTTTAGTATGTGTTCATTCTCATTGAAGAAACTTGATACAGCATTATGATTATCAATACATTTGGAACTGTGTCTATTATTGTTTATGGAGGTTTATAGGGTTTTGGTGCTGTTTTTTGGTCCAGTTTGTTGACATTATTCCATTATAGTCAAGTATGTGATTTACCTGTGCCTTATGGGGAGGATTATATGGTTTTGATGGAGAGATATTTTCTTTGTAAAGTAGTTTTAACCTCTACAGATATATGTTTCAAGTACTCTGACATAACCCTTGATTAAACTGAAAACTGACTTCTTCAAGACAGCATGCAGTAAATCTGACAAGTTTTTTTAGAGCACAAAAGTAATTTTTTAACATGCTAGAAAAATGTTCTAACCTTGTAAATTGTTTATATTTCAGTAATAGCTTATTCTTAAAAGTTCAGTCCTAAGCAGTTGCATTCTATGAGATTCAGTGCATGGGGGCAGACTGACAGTAAAATAAAATAATATCATTGTTCATTGATGTGATTTATTTTAGCTCCCCTTGGAGTTTATAATGTTTAGCAGCATCAGCTGTCTAAGCTTACAGTACAGATTGTCTGCAAGATCCCATTCTTGGGAGATAGCTTTTTCTTGAGTGTTTCAGTTAATTGTGCTTATGGAATGTCAGACTTCATGTGTGTCACTTCTGTTTTAGTTTGAGAGTATTATTCAATATACATGCTTATAATATTGCAAAACAAATCTCTGAAATGCCTGCTAACTGATCGTAAAATTAGGGTACTGGTATATGTTCATATTGCTGGGAGAGCTGTCACTTAAGCTGCTTGAAATAAGTGGAAGGATTTGAAATGTAGGGACATGTCATTTTTTCCATTATTATATCCCTACAAAAAGAAAGGATATTGGCCTTGTTGGATCTTGTCTTCTAGGGTAATGCTTAGAAGTCATTCTACTCCGAGCCATGAAGCAGAGGCAGCTACATTTGTCAGGTTGTTATTCTGGTGGTTTCTGTCACACGGAGAGCAGGTTGATCAGAGCTATACATCTTGCATGCATTTTTTGTAAAATATGATACAATATTTAGCATTTATTACTTAGTATAACTAATGATACCTTTTTTCTTGGAAGCTCCTGTGCATTCCCTGAGCTTTCATAGCCTGAAGTCCTTAATTACTGAAGTACTGAAGCACCGCTTTTTACAAGCCTGAGAATATTATGATGCTCATTCATATCTGAGTTTCTCCTTTTCATGTTGTTCTGTATACTATTTCCACTCCATTAAAATGTCTAAAAAAATTCACTCTCTGCCAAGACTGCAAGGTCTTGCTTTTCCAGATGACATTCTGTTTTACCCTCATGGGTACCAAAGCCTTTTAAACTCATTTTCTGGCCATTGTTGCAGCTTTATCTTAAAGGGAAATGGCATACAAAGCATCCTGAAATACAAAAAAAAAATAATAGCTAAAAAATAAAATCAAATATTAATTTTCAGTTCTGCAGCTTTCACATACAAGGATTAAAGCCAGGTATTCAGTGATGTTTAGGTAATTTGACTGGGTTTGGAAGTTTTGAACATTCCAATTTTGTGGTTTAAAATGCAAATGTAACAAAGCTGTAACTACCTTTTAGCAGCATATGATTTCTTTTGTCTGGAGACTGATTTTAACTTTACCTGCAGAACTTTTTTCCTAGTATTCTATGTAGGGAGGAGTCTGCTTGAGAAACTGTGCCACTATTCATTGTTTGTCAAGTTTCCCCTACTGTAACCTAGTTTATTTTGCACCTTTTCTCCATCATGGAAATAGTCAGGATTTTGAAATGTTGATAGAGACAAGGGGAGCTTGTTTCTGAGCTTTCTGAGAAAAATGACAATAATGGAATAGAAAGTGGAGCTCAGAATTTGGTGAAAGTATCATCAGAATTGATTTGGATCAGTAAGTGATGGCCTACTTCATAGACAATGGTAGAATTATGGTAGCTAATACAAGAGGACAATCAGAGAGGCATGGAGAATCAGATGAGAGCACAGGATACATTTTCATAATTTAAATTGGATTTTAAGCATTTAAAATGTTCAAAATATAAAATGTTGCATTTTTGTTTCATGTATGTATTGTCACCAGTTAATTATATTTTATTAAATACAGCTGAAATCACTAAGGCCTTGATAAGAAGTTTTCCACAGCCAAATTCCAATTGCTTCAATGGGGTTTGAGACCACTGGATTATCTTGCAAAATGCTGTATTTGTATCACATTCAGAAACAATAAAAATTGACATATGAAAGCTGCAGAGTGGCAGATTATTTCTGGATAGTTCTATTTTTTTATTTATGTAGTGATTTAATTTGTTTCAGACTTCACAGTTGGTATATTCTAAAATGGAATAAAAGCTTGCTAAATGCATGAAATAATGATGCTAAAACATTTAGAAAAAGCAGCATAATGTTTTGCTTCGAAATATTATCATAGTTGCCTTTAACGTAACAAGCTTGCTATTCCATTTTAAGATATTTTTCTATTTTTGCTTCTTTCTTTTTACTTTGACCACTACCCAATATCTTGGATGACTGACTTAGGAAAACTTGTGTACAGTACTTGTGAACTCCATGTCGACATGGATTTGGATTTCTTTTCAGTTGCAGTTTAAAACCTAATTTCACACTTCTGCAATAATTATTTTGGGATTATTTTTCTGTGCATTTTTTTCCTTTATTTTTCCATTTTTTCCCCTTTTCTTACTTCCTTATAATTATGTTCAATGTTAATGGAATTTAATTTTTCTTTTTTTAACTTATGAATATAGTTAAAGAATTTTGTAAGTTGCCATGTAGCTATTTCCACCAAATAAATTGTGTATCTTTATTTATTGATATATATTTTAGCATTTATATAATTTTGAGATTAGCTGAAGCCTTAAGCTTCTCATCTGATAAGGAAATGAGATATGGTTGTTCTTATGGAGTCCTCTGACACCTTTGTTTGAAAGATAGTGTGAAGACGATTCCAAAATAATATTTTTTCTTTTCCCCTCTGAAAGTTTTATACTTGAAATCAGTAGTTTTTAAATGTTTTGAATAGTTTGCATTTTGAGGAAAATTTTGAGTCAATGTGGAAGCAGTACTTTCTAAAATACATCTTTTACTCCCAGAGCATCAGGAACCATCAGCATTTCTTATTTGAAAAAGAATGAATTAAAAAAAAAAATAGTATAGTATCTGTCAGAGAAAATTACAGACATTTCTAAGACATTTCATCTCACTGTTTCAGTGAAGTGAAAATTTTTGAACAATTTAAGCATCTTTGACTTTTCTAGAATAGAGGTGAAAAACAGGAGAAAGCTTAGTAGTGATTCTATGATCCAAACCAGGCTTTAATACTTTGTACAGGATTTTTTTAGAATGAATTATAGGACAATTTTGCTACTGGTATTTTTATAACTACCAGGTTTACTTAAATTTTTTGACTATTCTAAAATATGTGCCTTTTAGAGCCAATACCGTAGCCTCAAAAATTATGAAACACTGCAACAGTGGAAATGCTGAAGGTTTGTATTCCTTGTTTTGACCTGAGCATACATACTTTGTGGTGTAGTTTTTCTCTTTGAAATCAATGTGCTTAGCTGACTTGCATAAAGCATTGGTTTTTTTATGGGAGCTACTGGTTCTATCCCTACTCATCCTTAGCTGACCCTGTTTTAGTAGAAGTAATGATGCAAGAAAATTGCTCATTTGAGCAGTCCTATTCAGACAGCTATAAATGTATCTCTTAATGTTCTTGTGCTCATCTGTATATGAGAATAATGTAGATATTTTGAAATCCTACTTAGATAAAACCAGACTAACAATATACTTTGCTAAACTTTAGCTTGAGATATTTGTTAACTCTTATGGAAATATAATGTACACTAAAATAAGTCAAAAAATTGAATGCATCCTTCCCTTCCTTTGTAGGGAAGGATGGATTCAATTTTGGCCTGAGGACAGGAATTAGAATTCAAAGTCATCTTGTAATGTTTGTTTTGCTGATAATTACAGCTCTTTGGATTTTTAATAATTTATTTCTTGCACACAAGAAATATTTTTCTATATATTTACCTGAAAGCCAAATGAGAATCAACATATTTGAACTGAAATTTGTGTTGAAGTAACTACAGCAATTATCCCATGTCAGACCATTTAAAATTTTCTATTACAGTTAATTTGCAAGGTAGATAAAATATAATCTGATAACTTACTGAAGAGAAAATTTATTCATTTTAGGCATGTAAAGCTAATTGCCTAAAAATTACAGATTTTTGCAGGAGGGGAAAAGCTTTTTAGTGTTTTATGAGCACGTTTTATTACTCAGTAAATTTTGATAACTTTTACATTAATTTTGAATTTTTGGTTTCTAGTATTTTTTTTCAGAGGTTACAGCTGTCTTGTTCTCCTTAAAATTCTGATGTGTTCTTGTGGTTAATTATAACTAATCTTTAATAGTAACATGAGTGTGCAAAGTCAGATTTATTAAGAGAGGATTGTTGCTTTATCATCCTAATTCAAATTTGAGCAGAGTTGAGATTATTGGTGCTCAAAGTTGGCTTTTAATAACATAAGTTAGTTTAAAATAATTTAGAAAATAAAGAAATTTAATTTTTCTTTGCCTCAATAAAGACTTATTTGCTGGAACCGAGGAGATGGCAATCTCAACATAAGCCAGCTGCATGTGAATGAGTTTTACTAGTGACTCCCTCTCAAGTATTTAATTGTTTTGGTTCCTAGAAGACCTCACGAGAAGCAAAAAACCTGGGTGGATGAATGATGCCTCTGCTTTTCCAGCTTCACTTCCAGTCAATGGCACACTAAGTAGTCGTAGTCGACAGAAGAGATCTGTAAGCCTTGAGCGGTTTGTGGAAACGCTGGTAGTAGCAGACAAAATGATGGTGGGATACCATGGTCGCAAAGACATTGAACACTACATTTTGAGTGTAATGAATATTGTAAGTTTCATCCTTCTCTGTGTTCCTATCAATACGTATGTACTGAAATGATAATGAACTTGTCAAGTGTTTATTTATTGCCATGAATAATGCTTTAATATAATTACTAACTTGCAGAGATGAATAGTTTAAATACTGGAAATCTTAGGATTTTGGGAAAATGTCAATAAGTATGTTGTGATCACATTTAAATTATTGTCTTTAATTTTGAATTCAAATAAATACATTCAGATTATACAGATTATTTTGCTTACATCAACACTAAATGCTTGTGCTGGATAACTTATGAAACAAGGTATAAACGGTTTCAACTGAAAAGTGTGACTCAAGAAGGTATTTTTTTAACTGAATGGTCATTTTTTGGTCAAAAAATAACTTGTATATAGGTGATAATGGTACTTTACATTCTGGAACTACCTGAAGAAATTGGGTTAATTTTTAACCATTTAGGAAGCAAGTAGTGTTTCTTGTCTGACTTTTGCCTTTTCTTATTTTCTGGAGGTCAGGTTGCCAAACTTTATCGTGATTCCAGCCTAGGAAACGTTGTGAATATTATAGTGACACGTTTGATTGTCCTCACTGAAGATCAGGTAAGAGCTGTTGTGCTAAGCTTTATACCTGTGAAATACAAATTACATTATTGCATAATGTAGAGTTATTTAGTTATAGCTTGAAGTGGCTGCCTCTGAATACAAAACCTATCATGTAATTTTTCACTACTTTAATCAAGATGAAGCAGTTCAAAGGAATATTCTTCATGTATCACCTCAAAGATGTATTCTTACTTCAGGTGACGATTATTACACCTTAGGGGATGTCAGCTTTATTTTTAGAACTGTATTTTGATTTTTTTTTTCTGTATTGACAAAATTATTATTAAAGTTGGAGTAGAAAGAATGATGGTTCAGCAGTACACAGCTGAACTTGGGGTCAGATTTTACAGAAATAAAATTTGGCAGGAAGATTTTATTCCTAGAAACCACTGCTTCTAATTATAGTCCCATTTTAGTTTTCAAAAGGCTTAATAACTGACCTTAGTAATTTGTTTGGAACATTTCTGGTATGCATGTTGTATTGCAGCCAAACTTGGAGATAAACCACCATGCAGACAAGTCCCTCGATAGCTTCTGTAAGTGGCAGAAATCCATTCTCTCCCACCAAAGTGATGGAAACACCATTCCAGAAAATGGGATTGCCCACCATGATAATGCGGTTCTTATTACTAGGTATGGTCATTATAAGTATTGTGTTTATTTTATTTCTTGTAGCTTTCTTGTTCTTAGCACATATATGTCTAGAGGCTAGTTGCAAAATAATGTATTTGGTAGGTAACCTTAAAAGGAGGAAGATTAACAGATGGCTTGTCTTAAATATATCAGATTATTAATATTTAGATTAAGAATTTAGAAAAGATCTGCAAATCTCTTGCTTCTGCTGTTATTTTCACTTCATAATTGCCAATACAAAGTATTACAGTAGAAAAGATGGATCATATTGAACATTTTATACTTTAATATTTGAAAATAATTCATAAGATCACAGAGAACAAAACAGAATGAAAAATGTACTGTTAAACATGTAAAGTGTTTTTGTAAGAATTTCAAGCCAGAACTTCAACTAGTGTAATAGTATTTCTCTGAAAACAGGTTCTTGCAGATTCCAGCAATATGAGACTCTGCTTTGTAGCTGGTTTGATTTATTATGCTTAATTAAGATGAGAACTGACAATTTTAATAGGTAGTTTCAAAGCCTGCATATGTGCCCATTTGTTTGCTTCTATTTCGCTGTTGCTGTGATAAATTCAACATAACCTGTACTGTAATCTTGTGATCCTGATAAAAGCATTTGTGTCAGTCCCTTTGCAGTTTGGTGTAGACAATTGTACTTTAATACTTTAATATTTTAATACTTTAATAGAAGATGAGTCTCACTCTTATTTAAGGATACTATTTATTCTTTTGTGTTTCATTTAAGTTGCAGTAGGTGCATCAGCTCTAATTTTGTTTAGGGTCTTTGTATTATGATTTCTGCTTTCCAGGACAAATTCTGTACTACTTTGTATGTAACCTATTTTGGAATAATTGCATTCACTGCAGAAAAATTTAAATACTGATTAAAATAATGCATCTTTTGTATAATTTTGCATAAAATTTGTGGAAGTTTATTTTTTTCCTGAGGGAGGTAGTGTTTCTTCTTGGTTTTGTTTTGCATAACAAACAAATCTTTTTATTTTTGAGAGGAAATAGAAGCTAGTGAATCACTTGCATGTATTTTTATTAATATTTCACATATAATTATGTATGGTCTTAAATAGTACATAGTAAAAATCAGAGTGCTTAAATGCTAGAGTAACTCAGAAAAATTTTAGATTTTAAGAAGTGTAAAAAAAAATTAAACCCTAATACAAAAAAATTGAATGCAATGAAAAATAAAATAGTTGCATTCTAAGGTCTTAATTTTTCACAAATACTTTTGTTTATTATCAGTTTTGTGCCTGTAAGTAGTTCCTTGACTAGGACTTTTGAAGCGTTATATGTGATTGCAGCTTTGCTGCACATTAAATTTTCATTGGTGTTATTTAGACAAGTGAAAAAGTGTAATCCTTGGGTGGTATGGTTGTGTCTGTTGAAGCTCCTCAATGTACATATGCATAAGTTGTATTGGCAACTCTATATTTTTATTGCTATGGCTGAATAACCTGACACTTTGTTGGTGGTATTCTGGCATTACAAATCACAGTTGTTTTCCTTCACAGCTGTGCTTTAATGTGTTTGATTACTGTGTATTCTGTACTGCCTTCCCTTAGGTGATAGGGTGTTCCAATGGGATATTCCAGTGTAGCTCCAAATAGTTCTGTATTTTCAGACGAAAACTCAAGCCAGTGTTAACTTGCAGGCCTCTTAACTCTAAAAGGAGTGATTTTTGAGAGAATATGAGTAATAGCTGTTCAAAATTACATTTTTTCATCAAAAAACCAATAAATATTGAGGACTCATTTTAGTTTTTCATTATGGGGGCTATAATTATCGCAGTATGTAGCATGTGTACACTGTCTTTTAAAAGGGATGTAAGAATTTTATAGATTTCTAGTTTTCTTCTAAGAAGTTTATACCTCTAAGAATATACCTGTATTTTAAATGAAGAAAGTGCCTCAGTGTTGTGTCTGCAGGCTAGTAATACTTACCTTTATAAAGTTTCAGTTATAAATGTTTCACACCAAAATGCTTCTATTCATTTATTTATATAATAATTGTAAATCCTTAAAATAATCACAAGGGCTGCGCTAATCAATTTGAGTGGCTGAATCCAGCTTTTACAGAAACTGCTGGATATCCTGGCTGTTGCTAATAAAATGAATCAGGTTATGTGAAGAATTGATAATTCTTTTTGTGGTTGGAATGAGTAAGGACAAATTTATATTCATATAGAAATGTAAATCCACTAACTTTAATAATTCTAAATTTATTACTGAAATGTTGATATACTTGTTTTCATTCTCTTGTCTATCTTTCAATTGATGAACCAGATTTAAGGCATTATATGTGAAAGAGAAGGATATAGCTGTGGTCCTTTAAACTCATAATGTACTGGAAAGGTCTTTAATAACCATGTCTATCCAAAGGAGTTTGGGCCTATACTACCAAAAATTAGGATACCTTTTAGCCACTCCAATAGTATTTTGAAATCAGTTTCCTGAACCTGTCCCACTGATGCTGCTCTGCTTTGTACGGAGCAATTACATTTTTATTGACTTTGACACTGGAATCAATTTTTTGCTCATTGTGTGTACTTCTATTTTATGGAAAGTAGGAAAGTTTCAGTTCAACATTATGAATAGTTTTGTGTTGATTAAAACCAGATTTTTTGGTAAGTATTGATGTATTTGAATATATTACTGAGTCCTGGCTAAGTATTTAAGTTTGTAACTACATTAGTCTTTATCTGAAATGTGGGGCAAAGGAAAATGAGTCTTCACTTCAGCTTTTCTTTGCTATCCCTTCATGTTGCTTTCAATGATGTCATGGTCTGATCTGGGAAAAACAGTATTAAGGCTGCACATTCTCTAGGAGTATCTGCTTGACGAATGCAGACTGACTTTTGTATCCTAAATAAGCTCTATGCTAAAACAAGGTAGCCTCACTAGAGTGGAGGTATGTCAAGCTGATCTCTTAAGTCCCACAGAGTCATTGCCATGCCTACTAAGCCACCAATCTTTAGACAAGAGCCTGCCTGAGTTTGGTATTCCTGGTCTATGGGCCTATCTGGTCATGGTCCTGCAGCCACCCTGCAGTCTGCTAACTGGGTAGGAAATTGCAGAAAACTTATTGTTTGCTAATTAAAAATACACAGGCCAGAGACTGGTCTAAGTAAGACTTCATATTGTATATCACCTACATTTTTTCCAGTAAGAAAATATATTTAGGTGTCAAATTTCAGTGTTTTATCCTGAAATTGTCCAAGGTCAGTTCTTGGAGGCAAGTAAAAGTGAAATACTAAGCAGACAGATTTGAATGTGAGGCTGATTATTGGTGTAATGCTGTTAAGGCAATGTTGCCCTTCTTTTTGGTGAAAATTTTACATAATCCTAGGGAATCCTTAAAATTATTTTGTACTACAAAATAATAAAAATAGGAGAAAAACTTGTATGGATGTCTAATCTCAAATCCTTAGATAAAGAAAGAGCTCTTGAGTTTGGTTCCTGTATTCTTGCATCATTATGTGATAATTTTGTTTTTTAGCACAATGTCAGATAATTAATTTTAAAAGCCAGTGTAAATTTTGAGGCTTGTGCATCCCACTCCAGTGTAGAGGTATCATTTTGCCTTTTTGAAGTTAGTCCTTATTTGGTGGTTTGGTTTTCTTTTAGCCTTCCTTGGTAGGCTGCTTCCTCTTTTTGTTTATTCATTAACTCTTTAAGATATAGGGTCTCCATAGATTTCAAACCCACAAAACTTAAGAGCTATAGTGTACAGGTATTATTTTATTTTTGCTTATATTTTTTATCCTTCTCCTTCCCTTTCAATCTGTGGCTTCCTTCTCTTGATCATAAAGATCAGGAAGTAGGAATTGTGGTATTCCTTAAGAACACCTTTGTTAACATTATGAACAGAACCATTCCTTTTCCTATGTACCTGCACAGAACAATAAAGGCCAGAAGGTTGGATTCTTGGTTACACTGTATCAGGATTGAGAAGGTGAAACATTTTTTAAAAGGCCTTTTGTTTTTCCTTTATACTGGAAGTGTTCTCTAGTGCTGCATTTCTCTGTAGCTCAAGAGGGCTAGTTTGATTCATCCAGGTACTAAAGTGTTGTTTATCCAAATTATGTGTGGCCAACGCTCTAAACATTGCAGCAGTGGAGTGTTTTGCTGCTGAGATGGAAGATTGCTTTGCCTCCTGGTGCCTTAGTAGATCAATAAAAAGGCATACTGGATGGGCCATAGAAAGGAAGGTTTCGGGGTACAGTTGAGGTGTGTATTTCTAAAGGGACAGAATCTAGTCTGTGAAATGCAATTGTTTTAAACAGAAAAACATTTGAAACCTCACTCACTTAAGGAAACAGTACTTCTCAAAAATTGTTGAATGAAATGTTATCTACTGTTGGTAGTTCACACACCATGAGTTTGTTTTATGTTTTGAAAGGAAAACAAATTCACTATATTTGACAAAAACATTAAGATCTCTTTGCATCTTGGGTGCTTCTATGGGAACATTCCTTGCAGAAAACTTACTAGAATTAATTTTAAGACTGAAAGCTTTTTAGGTGTATCTACATAAAACCTGTGTAGTTTTATGTAGATACACCTTCTGAAATTCTTGACTTAAAATACCTTGAAATACAAAAATCTTTTACTTGGTTTGAAATCCACTTGAATTAAGTTCACAAGTGGTTTACTGCTTTAGCAGCAATTAATTCCACAGTCCCACTGAACTGATGTACTCTGTTGGAAGGATCCTTATTTGATTGAATAAAGAATCAGAGCTTAAGATGTTTTCATTTTGATATAAGCTAATAATTGATATAATATCAATTTTGATAATTGATTAATTCAAATACACCTTGATTTGCAGGTTGTACTGATGACAGTAAAAATGCTCAGTACCCCAGATGGTGTATTTTTTCCTATTTGTCTGGGTCTTAAGTTTGTTTGTATATGTTAATATTGTGAGACAGTGAATGAGCTCTCTCTTAATAGACACTGGTATTTTTGCTGGGTACCACTGTA